GCTAGGGGGTTTTATATTGTATATATAAAGGGCTAGCTAAATATACCCTAAAGGTGTCGGGCTCATATATATATATATATATGTACATATACATATACACATACAAAACGGAGGACCCTGGGAGTGTCAGATATACGGCCGCATCACTGGCCGTCCCACCCCCGTGGTATGCCCTGCCGACCCCCTCCCCGCGCGCCCCCACGGAGGGCGTGAGGTCGGCGAAAATCTGCGTGTCCAACATTACATGGCCCAACGCCGAAAACTACAAGTGGCACAGCCCTGACATGCAGTCATGCCAACAGTCATGCCAACTGCGAACGCGGTTAGGAACCTGATACAACGCCCACAAAGCCCTGCGCCCTACCTAACCATAAGCTGCAAACCACAACGATTTTGCAAGTCCTGGAAACGGGGTAAGACAGGGAATGAACTGTTTGAGATTAGGAGTCCCAGTTATGTTACAGCTTGTGGGAAAATCCAAGCATGAACACTGCCAAACACAGCAAAGACGACAGCAATGACAGCGATAATATCTGCAACATGTAAATTGTGCGGGATCACTGAGACCCCACTGGAAGTGATGAAAGAAACACGTTGCCCCACCTCGGCCACAAAGCGCCTAACCTCAGAGCGCTCTCACTGAAGAAGTGCTAAGGTTGCACCCGCGACCCGGACAAGGAATTCACAAAATTTCAACGAAGCCTGAGCTTTAAACATGCTCCGAGATAATAGAGAGAGAGAGAGAGAGCTCATGCTGTCGATTGTAGGCGTTTGAGATGTAATCTTTGGCACTTCATCTAGACAGGCAGTTTCAGAGACGCGCAGTTGGACTCTGCCTGACGCACTCAAGGATAAGAGGAGAACCTCTCCGAAGCCTGGAACACATCCTGAAGAACATCCGCAAACATGCTTACTTCAATCGGCGGAAGTTGATGCTTACTTCACTGAGATAGCCCGAACCGGCAGGGTCCAGTGCAGTAGCGCAGAGACGGCCGGCCCAGAGGCCCGGATCCTGCGTTGCTGTCTGTCTCTGGGTCTTCCATCTGTCTGCATGTCCGTCAGTCTGTACCTGAATCTGTCCACCCCTCCCTTCCCCTCCCTTCCCCTCCCTTCCCCTCCCTCCACCGCTTTCTGACTTTATCTGTCTCTCTGCGCTGTGGGGTCAGGAACCATATTTCGAGGTGCCAAAGAAACCTGCCACCTACGACAGGAAAGCGCCCGAAACTTCCCACGGGTTTTCTAGTGCTCGAACGCTTACGAGAACACGTGGGCAGGGGTGGCATCGGCGAGGGCGTGTTGCGATGTGAAGTGGAATCACCTTAGGTACCTGCATCGTGCACTCAATGCCTCAATCGGCTGGTCTACTTCGCCCAAATTCTTAAGAATTGTTCCACCGGTGGAACGTGCGTTGATACTGTGACGATGACTCTCCTCTGTTTCCTGCGTGCTGCAACACTGGAAGCGCCCGTAAAATACGACTCTCAGCTTTTATGCTTCAATCTCCTGTTCAGACAGGATCAACCTTCGCACAGGCTTCTTTATTCCTACAGCCTGCCTCCCATGACAGGACCGCGGAGCCCGACGTGCTGGAGCCTGCTCAGAAAGAGCAACATACCCGGCGAGTTGGAAGAATCTAACTGTGTGGCTTCAGGGTGAAGAGGGTCCAGCGGTATGCGTGAGGATGGCGGTGCTGAGGGTAAACCTCGGCAATGTTCTTGACTTGTTCATTCGCCCATGATTTGCAGCTGTGTCCCCCATACTGACTTTTAATCCGGAACAACCATATTGAATTTGGATCCGATTCCCAGCCGTGTGCACCAGGAAGCATGGAAGCCTCATGTGTCTAAGATTTCCTGGCACACAGTTCCCTATAGTACATCAAAACAGCAACCAGCGGACCAAGTAAACGAACAACAATGAAGACACGACGTTTGATTTGTTACGTTTTCCCAACCCGGTAGTGTTTAGCCCTGCATCCAGCAAGTTCAACTCCAACAAAATCCAGGAATGCGAGGCTGGAACCAACAAACCCAAACCACAAGATGTAGATATCTGCACAACCCATCCGCAATGCTGAAACCTCATGACATGCGTCAACAACGCACTAGTGCTGAAGGTTTCTTATTCTCGTCAAGTGAACTTTCTGATATACAATGGCCGGATGCCTGAAAAGACAAGCTTGTTGCCCTCATCGTCACCCTCGCCCGCTTCTTGCCCGTGTTGCTGTCATTGTCCTACCCCATAGTTCTCTGCCCTCGTCGAGTCCTCTTGGGAAATGGGGTGTTAGGGCATTGGGTTCGTGCCTGGATGCAAAGCCACTAAGTCCATACGGCCATACGATACTGGACTAGGGTTTCCGTCCATCTTTATACTCTAATGATGTAGCGGTTCTAAGCCAACCAAACGACATTGGTTGGGTTTGGGCTTTGGCTATGCGTTATCCTCGTCCTTTGTGGCTCCATGAAGAGGCTCCAACACGTCAGCTGAATCCAAGCTGCACGATGAGCAAAGGAACACATTTTCTGCAACACAGAATTGATTTCCTTCATAGCATCAATATTCGGTCAAACCAGCTCCCTCAAGCCCCATGTCCAATAAGAATGCGCCAACCCAATGCTCATATCATAAAACGCAACACCGCCTCCTCGTGCCCCCCTGTTTCTGTCCCTTTCTTGTCTGTCCCATTTTCTGGTCCCCTCGTGCCTGACTGTCCGAATTGCCTAGGAGCCAAACAGTGGCACTGACCCGTCTTACCTTCCGCGTCCTTTCTTCTCTCCTAAAATGGCCGGGTTGCCGGGGAACACGTCTTGACTCGTCCTTCGGCTGTTTGTCCTTTTACCATGGTGACTCCCGCTTGTGGGATGAAGTGGCCAAATTGCTGTCCCTCGTCCATAACTTGTTTGGGCTGGGGTGGCTGGATTCTTGTTGGAGGGAGTCTTCGTGGCTGGTGTGGTTCTTCAAACAGCGTGAGTATCGTATAAACCCGAAGCAGAGACTCGAATCGGATCAGCAAGAAAAAAGGCCTCTGCTCGAGTCAGCACAGCGGCAGATGGCCATCCAATCTGGGCAAATGGGGTTTCCCCGCGCGCCTCCTTCTCCTCCTCCCTCCTGCTTCCTCCTTCTTCTCCTCCTGCTCCTTGTGGTCAAAGTCCTAGTTCATAGTACTGCACTACCACTACAATCACCACCACCCCCCCTAGAAAACAATTAGCCAGACCACCAACATCACCACGACCATCACCACGACCACGACCATCAGGACGACCACGACCACGACCAAGCGACGACGACCACGACGACTGCTACTGCTACTGCTACTGCTACTGCTACTGCTACTGCTACTGCTACTGCTACTGCTACCGCTACCCGCTACCTGCTACCTGCTACCTGCT